TTCACGTACATCCTTTCGAACCTCCACTTCACGGACAATGCAGATGAACGGGCAGGCCAAGACAGAGCTTGGAAAATTAGGTCAGTTGTAGATACTCTACAACTGACCTTCAAAGCTGGGTTCATAGCTCCAGCCGTCATCGCGTTCGATGAGGCGATGATCCCCCTCCAGAATCAACACAATCCGACCCGGCAGTACGTTGCGAACAAGCCCCACAAATGGGGAACTAAACTCTTCATGACGTGCTGCGCCCAAACTTCATACTGCCTACGGTAAGTCATTTTGCAGCTACGTAAACATGTTGTATCTGACACGTTGTATTCTACAACATGAACCACATTCAGGATCGAAGTCTACTGCGGAAAAGCGCAACACAGACATGAAATCGGAAATGTCCCTGAATCTGTTCAGTCTGTTGACCACAACACAGGACCAGCAGCAGTCATGAGGAATCTGGATGCTGTCCTACCTCCGCCATCCGATGGTGTATATCACTTGATAGTAACTGATCGGTTTTACACATCGTTTCAGCTCGCTTACCATCTTCTACAGAGGCAAGTGTACTGTGTTGGAACCACCCAAGGTGACAAACAGGGATTTTGCAACGCAATTGGGGAGAAAAATCGAGATAGACCGCGCAGCATTCCGCATGGTACAACGAGAATGGCTGTCGCAAAAAATTGCCCCAGCATGACGAGTTTGGTGTGGTGGGATCGCCGTCCGGTACAGCTACTAGGAACTGGTGGAAGTCGGAGGATGGAGAGCTGCTGTGAGTACAACCCTGGCCGATGCTTGATTATTTTCTAACGCTGAATTTGTTTTTCAACATGCTACAGTTCGATGGAGACCAGGAGGTGTCCACGCTGAGGTGCCCTGCCCATCCATAATGCGGGATTATCATCGCTGGATGGGTGGGGTAGACGTGCACGATCAGCTACGGTTACAGCGGTACTCTCTACAGCAACAAACGAAATGCAAAAAGTACTACAAAGCCGTATTTCTCGGCCTGGTAGATATTGCAATCGTGAACGCCTACGTGGTGTTTCGTGACGTTCAGAAGCAGCGCGAAGCGAAGCCACAAACGCACGCTGAGTTTCTAATGCACCTTCAAGCACAGATGTTGGAGGTCACCGAGGAAGACTTCGGCCAGGTACGATCATACAGCATAATGACATGGTGTATATTGCAACTTGTTTACCTACAACATGTTGTTCTTGTGTGGTATTTCAGCGTCAGCCACAGGTCGATACTACTGTGGCAATTCGGACACTCCCTGATGAGCATGTGCCACGGCAAAATCCAGACTTTCAAATCGTCAACGGGCAGCGCAAACGCCGCCAACGACAATGTAAAGTTTGCTCAAACCGTAAGCGTTGCGTGGGTGAGCGTCGTGCCACTAAATTTTTTTGTCCAGGGTGTAGTCCATCAGACAAAGCACGGTACGATGAGTTTGCTGCAGTATATCAGGTTGCTTCGATTCTAACTTCATTTATAGAACGTATCTGTGCAATAAGGTATGGCCTCACTACAAGAAGAATACACTGACGTGCCACCAGATATGGCATCTACAATGGAACAATGGTAAGGATCGCCCCAAACCGCGCTGTGGTCGCGACACTCAAAACCGTGAGGCAGGTACAGGAGGAAAACGGAAGCGTCGCCGTGTCGATAGTGGAGTTGAAGCAGAAGACACTGCTGCAGATAACGAAGACACCTCGGACGCTACAGAACACGGGAGTAACGGTAGAGCCTCAGTCGTGGAAACACAGTGTCCTACTGTCGAAGACGTGAGAGTCGAGAATGATGCCGGGCAGTGAATGAGATCTTGCGAATCTATTGAATAAATTTGTTTTACTTCCATAAAAAA